AATCAATTATTAACTGAAATCCCTAAGGGAGTAGGAACAAATTGTCCCTTTTCGTTTAATTCGGCATAGCCTCTTTTTAATAATACTCGCCCGAATAAGTTGTAGGTAGAGGGACGACCAATCCCCAATTTTTCTAATTCTTGGACTAAACTACCTTCATTATAACGGACTGGTTTATTTTCCTGATATTCTTGAACTTCAATTTTTTTGGCTTCGAGTTGGGAAATTGTTTCCAATCCACTCTCTAACTTAACATTATAATTAGGAAAATAAACTTCGGGGGAGCAAGCCAAAAATCCAGCAAATTGACAAATCCTTTCCGCAGTGGCAAAATAGTAATTATTATTAAGAAAACGGTAAGTAATTTTATTGACCTGAGCTGGACTCATTAAACTAGCCAAAGTGTGATTGTATATTAGTTTGTATAAATTGTATTCCTCCTCTGATAAAGAACTTTTAATATCCTCGGGATGATAATCCAAATAAGTTGGATGAATAGATTCATGAGCCCCCTGAACGTTAAGTGTCTTTTCTTTTTTTTTCCAGGCTGGATTAGGATTAGAATAATTAGGTTCTCATTTTGCTCGAATGTATTTATAGGCTAAAACTGTAAATTCCTGGTTAATGCGCGGGGAGTCAGTTCGGGGATAGGTAATTAACCCTACTTGTTTTCCCTTAGTGCTGATTCAAACTCCCTCATAGAGTTTTTGGGCTAGTTGAGTAGTTTGGGCGACCGAAAAACCTAATTGGGATTTGGCCTCAAATAATAACAAAGAAGTAATGAGCGGGGGCTTTGGTAAAATGAACTTTTTTTCTTCTTTTTTGCCAATTAATTGAAAAAGCAAACTCAGTTTTTTTTTAATTTCTTCGGCTTCTTTTTTTTCCTTATAGAGGACTAAATCACCGGCCTCATCAACTTGCTTCAAAGTTATTTTTTGCTCGTTCACCTGACAAATCCCACAAAGGATATAAAGTTTTTTCTTTTCAAATTGTTTAATCAATTCTTCTCGCTCAATAAT